CATTAACTGTTGGAATCAGCCTGATTCAAGATGGCTGCCACAGCCAGTGTTGTATAAAGTACCACAAAGACATGATTTGTTTGTGTACAAACTAATACACTATCAGAGTTTTATATATTTATACTTCTCATTCAACCACAGTTAAATTCACTCTATCTAGGAGGCTCAGTTTATATGGATAGTTTTTATTTTTTACAACAACAAGCTGCAATGAAAACAAGAAAAAATGAAATAAAAGTAACGACTTTCTACTTGCATTTTTTTAAATGTAAGGAGTAAAAAGTACGCTGAAAAATAATTACTCAAGTAAAGTACAGATGCCCAGAAATTCTACTTAAGTACAGTAACAAAGTATTTGTACTTAGTTACTTTACATGTCTGCATAAAACAAAACTAAACCCACAGTTCATGAAAACAATTTTGATTTACTTTTGCAATAAATTCAAAGGAAAAATGTGCTTTAATGATTTTATTATCTTTTCGCAGGAAACGATTACGTCAACGATGCAAAGTGCAACATAAACAACGCATTCCTCTGCGTCAAAGACCCGTAACTGCGTCCACTTCATCTCCACGCCTCTGAGACCAGGAAGTCCTGTGATGTCACTTCCACCAGGAGGATGACCTCATTCAGACAGACGTGTTGATAAATCTGATGTTATTAAAATCTGACACAAATAAACTCATATCACTCAGCATCTGTCATCTGTTCAGTTCTGAGTTAAAGAAGAAAACTTAATGATCTGGTTTTGACATTATTTCTGCAAAAATAAACATATTTAGCTCCAAGGGGCGGAGCTAGAGACGTTTGTTTTCCACACACTGAGAAGTTCCCTCTACTGATAAATCAGCTGCTCGACAGAAATGTACTCCTCTGTTGCTCTAACTGTCCGTCTTTAAAATGACCCATGTGATCCTCCATTTGTCAAGTCTTTTGGGCGTGGAACCTGAGGTGGCCAATCAAGTGCCAGGGTGGAAGTTGCCACCCCAGCCACACCTCTGACTCCGCCCCTGACCACACCAAAGAGATGGTTTATAATGAGAGCTGTGCAAAATAAACAAGTGTTGTGATGTTGGTGGACGTGGTGCGGGGGATCTACTGTGACCGCTGCACAAATAACAGGTGAAGAAGAGGCGCAGACCACTGGTGAAAGGTGGGCTTTGGCGTGAACCTAACTGTGACTCATTTTACGTCTCTTAAAGATTTCAAAGAGTGGTGAGATAAAGGCTGATAGAGGCTGTATTTGTAGAAATATTCAGAAAGATAAAACATGGTCTCAGCCCTGGACATGAACTCATGATGCTTCAGACACAGAACAAGTTTTCCTATGAATCATTTAGGACAGGGTTTCTCAAACTTATTGGGTCTGAGGACCCCTGACAGAAGTGAAAATATTCTTCATAATAAACCTCATGCTGATTTAAAACTGATTTAATGCCATTTAACACCTAAATGCCATGAGAATAGTTGTTTATGTGGTTGAGTATTTTACTTGTGCATTGTTCCCTTTATGCATTTATGAAGTTTTTTTTTAATGAAAATCAAAATTAAGAGTTTATTACAATTTTTTGAGGACCCCAAGTTATAGCTCGCAGACCCCTGGGGGTCCTGGGACCCCAGTTTGAGAACCCCTGATTTAGGAAGTCCGACCGACGCTGACAAACTAATCAAACAAAAACCCCACAAACAGGCAGCAGAAAGGTTTGCAGAGAACAAGCGTTTATTTTACAGGATGAGACATCAGATGTGTCAGATCATCTCCCGGAAGTGACATCATCGAGGCTTGACCTGCTGGAAGTGACATCATCGAGGCTTGACCTGCTGGAAGTGACATCATCGAGGCTTGACCTGCTGGAAGTGACATCATCGAGTCGGACGCATCGGTGCGACCGTTTATGGGTTTCTGGCACAAACAGAAGCAAGCTTTCTGCTACACGGAGCATCGCTGACAAAATCGCCTGTAAAAAAACAAAAAAAACAAAAACAAAAAGAAATAAAAAAAATAAGAAAATCAGAAGCAAAAATAAAACTTAAAAAACGCTAAAGTATCATCAGTTCTGAGGCCAAGACGAAGAGTGACCTTCAGATGAATTAGGGCTTACCATCAAATAAACAAGAAAGCACATTTGAATGTGGGAACCTTTTATTTTCCACCTAAAAAAAGGATTTATACTTTATAAACTATTATAGTCGTACATTAATGCATCCTGAACGGCAACATGCACCCCTACAAATGTTACATCAAAACAACCGGCTCGGCAGTGGGATGGGTGCTGTTACTTTTAACAGTGTTTCGGGTTAACATGGTGACGTAAATCGTGAAAAACTACCACCAAAAAACCTCGTAGGAATACAGTGAGCTCAGTTCCCATCTGCCGCCCTCTGAGACACGTGACCTAGAGTGAGAGCTTTAAAATATTTCTTAGCAAACAACTTCTTCTCGCAGCCTTATTTTTCATGAAACAGACAAATTTTATATCAAAACACAGGCATTTTTCTCTTCTTTTAGCCAATATTTCTGGTTTTGCTGTGGAATAAATGTTTTTTTCTAAAAGTGCGTCAGAAGTCAGGGAAGTATTACTTCTTGTCCTGTCTCGCTCCATGTTAAATTACTGTCACACTCCGGTTCAAAAGCAAAAACAATGACTATATTTAACTCATCATATTTTTGAGTTAAAGCGCTGTAAAAACTTGAAAATTTCCATGAGAAAGAACTAATCTCTTCTGTCACTCGTAGTTTAAGAATTATTTCAATAGACCTTATAGTTTTCAGATGGCAGCCATTAGTTTGAACTAAACTTTTCATTGGTTTTCTCATGTTGACAGTAAGGTGCTGTCAGCCAGGCCTTCTGATTGGCTGAGGCTGTTACTAGGCAGAGTAAATGTGCAGCCAGGCCTTCTGATTGGCTGAGGCTGTTACTAGGCAGAGTAAACGTGCAGCCAAACCTTCTGATTGGCTGAGGCTGTTACTAGGCAGAGTAAACGTGCAGCCAGGCCTTCTGATTGGCTGAGGCTGTTGCTAGGCAGAGTAAACGTGCAGCCAGACCTTCTGATTGGCTGAGGCTGTTGCTAGGCAGAGTAAACGTGCAGCCAGACCTTCTGATTGGCTGAGGCTGTTACTAGGCAGAGTAAACGTGCAGCCAGGCCTTCTGATTGGCTGAGACTGTTACTAGGCGGAGTAAACTCTTGAGTGACAAAGAGAGGCTTTCTGTAATTCAATATTTCACGCAGATTACTCAGCAGTTTATACAAAGCTGAAATTTGGTGGAGTGGTAGCTGAGAGCTATCTGAACACATTCTGAATGCTACTCACAAATTTAAGCTAACTGCTAATGCTAATTTTAAATAAGTCCAGTTTTAAGACTTACAAAGCTGAAAACTGGAATAGTACAGAGAAAGAGCTTTGACAAATTCTGAATCCTAAATTTAATTCAAGATGGCCGCTAGAGCTAATTTGAAACTGTAATAGGTCTGTAATTTTACTACATAATGGACTGAGATTTTGTGTGGTGGTAGCTGAGCACAATCCTCATTACTTACTGCGTCTGAAAAAAAAATCCAGATAGCTGACTTAGCTGCAACATAAAATTGATCATATCACGGCCATTTTTACACATATTTGTCCAAAATTTGAGATGATGGTAGATGACAGTGATCTTCAAATAGTTAAGTCAAACTGTAAATCTAAAATGGATGCCATGTGGCAAACCCGTTAGTTTCTCCAGGAACTATTCTAGTAATTTTTTGTACCGTTTGTGTTGATCATCATGCAGTTCTCATTTCCACCATTGTTGTCTGGTTCTCCTGGACCCCAGTCCTTAAAGGTGAACGGTGTCCCGTTGCTCCAAAACCAAAAACCCTCCTGTGAGACAGCAAAGTTTTTTTTTGTTTTTTAAAAATCAGTTTATTTAATTTTCATGTCAGTAAATATTTTTTAATTTCACAGAACTCTGACCTTCACAGCATCACTACCTCCAACCCAGGCCGGTTTGTTGTATCCTGCTGATCTATAGACCAGTTCTTTGACGAACGTGCTCTCACCTTGTGTCTCCAGAGACTCCAGACTTGCACCCATTGAGTTACAGAAATGCTGAGAGGGAAGATTCAAAACAACAACACAATTAAATCACTATGACATCACCAGGACATCACATTGACATCACCAAACTTCTGTCTGTGAGGATCTGTGATCTTGAGTCTTGTCTGCTGTCTGACTCTTGTGTCCGTTTCACGCCATTGATGTTTCACCTCAGTTCTCTCTGGATCAGTCCTTCTCACCTGTCTGTTGTTTGTAATCAGTCCTTCTCACCTGTCTGTTGTTTGTAATCAGTCCTTCTCACCTGTCTGTTGTTTGTAATCAGTCCTTCCTCAGCTGTAGCTCATCATTCTCATTCCTTTTGTGTGTTTATACTGGTCCCGTCACTGTTTCCTTGTTGGTTCATTACATGGCTTCAGTCCATTTTGTCGGTCCCCTAGCCTCCTGTGTGCCTCCCATAAATCTTTTAAGTTTTGCTGCCTTGTCAGCCTTTTTGTTTATTGAATCCTTTCATTTTAGAGCTCTTTGTGTCTGTCTGCTTTTGGGTTCATTCACCCCACACCTGTGATACTGTCTCCTCTAAATGTTGAATAAGGTGGTAACTATTGATAGCTTTTAGACAGAACATAACTTTAAAAATGAGCAGATTTAACCTTTGAGTWGTTTTTTTGGGGAGTTGGGCGCACTAAGTGTTTAATTGGCTGTAATGAAAACAGTTGTCGTACCTCTGAATCGTACCAGTCCCTTTCAGTGGCGACAAACCGGTAACAGTAGCCTCCGTACCAAGTCCATCCAGGAGGGCAGGTCTTACAGGAAACTGTAAAACACCTGGAAACTCAGACAGGCTTTGAATCTCCACATCTGCATCATATCTCACCATCATTTACAAAACAACTCGATTAGATTCTGTTCAACCAATAAAATGTCAACAATTGTCAGAAAACATGTGGAGGTTGATGTTTTTTATCACAAACACGCTGCAGTTTGAGCCTCAAAACAAACCAAATAATTAATCTAACATAACGTCTGATATTTGATTTTAAACGCCTCAAAAAGATAAAAGCACCTACGTAGTTCTGGAGGATGACAGTTAGCCTGTGGAGATAAAAACAGAGAGTCAGAGTCTGACTGCTAGATCAGTTTCACCTGTAATCATCTCCATGATCCAACAATTTGTCAAATAAAACAATAATRATAATTTTCTGCATTAATTTTATTTCTGCACATATTAAGGATTCATTACATTCTTCTCTGGTCATGATAAAAATAATCCTGATGTTTTTATTTAAATCCATTTAACAGAAAACAAAAGTCTTTTCAAACCTACATTGGCACCGACCCCCAATCCACAAAGAAGCAACGCAAAGAGAAGAGAAGATGTCATCTGCAAAACAGAGAAATCCAGAAAGACTTTACAGTAACAACAATAATTCATAATAAAAATCATCATCATCATCATTAACCTTTATTTAAACTTTATTAAAATAAACAGATTTTACTTTGTTGTGACGTTCAGTCAAACGGCAGCAGTCTCACCGGGTGAAGGATGTTTTCTGAAAGCAAACAGATTTTTTATTGCAAATGTTGAAAATGTATTAATTTTATTAATTTAATTAATGTGAAGTACATCTAAAAGACTACAATTAAGACACAATAGTGAAAATTTGACAAATAGTTTGGTTATTCTGCTGATATAATACGAGTGTCCCAGGCTTGTTAAATACGAGGGACCTCCTGGCCTCTATCAGGGTGTTGTTTGGTTAAAAAAAACAAGTAATTAATTAAAATAAATGTCCAATCTGATGTAATATATATTTATTAAATCCCTTTGATAAATTAGTCCAATCCAGCCAAMTGAAAACAGCTTCAGAGGACCAGGACTTACCATGTAAACCCTTATACATGTCTACTGGTCCTTACTGTTTTCACCAGAAATATCCATAAAAGTACATTTAAAATTATTTACACCGGAGTTCCTCACCAAAAAAAAAAAACTATTTATAAATGAAATATACCTGAGAAATAATGTAGACTAATGTAGCAGTGTAACTGTTCCAYGTTATGGAAAATATGGGTCAGGCCAACCATATCATAGACATCATACTTTAAAGTTATATTTTATTACATTCATATATATTCTATCCTTGGAGCTGTGGAAGATCAGATTGGGTCAGAAGTTTTCTCCTGTATGATCTTCTTCGTGGTCCTCCAGGACAGCTGGCCTCTAGTTTTTGTTGGCCTTGGCCATGACCCAATCATCATTTTATTTTCATCACCCTTACATTTTTCTATTAGACCTTTAACCAACTTAATACATGATTCAGGTCTTGATTTACATTCAAACCCAATTGTTTTCATTGCAAACTGTAAAAGTTTAACCAAATGTTTCACAGTTGGTTTACAGACACTTTTAAGATCCCATCTGAGTTTTTGGTTCTCTGAGTRGCTGTAGTCCCAGACTATCCAACAAATACCCCAAATATTTATTCAGAATGTTTGTCTCACCGTCGCCTGCGGAGATTCGACCCCCCACTTTGGATGATCGGTTCAGACACCTGCAAGGTTTTCAGGCACTTGTTGTTCCTCGAGGGGTTGCTGGACTCCGGGTGACCATCAGTGAACCAACAGCAGGTTTTTAGTTTGGAGTTCAGAGWTCTCAAACCAGAGGAAAGAACTGACATGTCYTTGACTTCAGGGCTTATTTATACCAAGTGATGAGCCACAGGCAGGATGGAMCCACTGATAAGAAAGAACAGAACATTTCAACAGGTCATTAGATTATCAGGTTCAGGTTAAAATGTTTGMTCCAGAAGAACTCATTATGTGTCAAATGTGCAGATAAAATATGAAACAACACCTCATTGTGACCAAAGAGACATGTTGGCTCAGCGTTGTCCTGGAACTAATGATGTCATGAGATAAACAGCAGGTCCACCAGTGAAGCAAAAGTATAAAAACCCTGGGTTCTCTGTTTGAACACATCCTTCTCCCACTGAAGCTTCTGCTGCTGGGATTTATTTATTTTTATTTTTTTTAGCAGTCAGGCAGAGTTATATAAGTTATTTCCACCACAATTTTATTTTATTAAAAATATATTTCAAACATTAAAAAAACAAGCAATTAGCAGAATAAAAAAGATAAAACATATGCACACATAACCAAGAACCCAAACACTGTACCACCACTTTTCTGTTTGAAAGGGAGTTGGAAGAAGTGAACGCTTAAATTTCATCACAAGGTAACATCTCAGCTGTTGTAAGAAAATATAGAATAATTTGATTATTTGTCTTCTTTCTAAAGATGAACAAGTTTMTTGTTGTTTTTCCACAGATGCAGTCAAGTCTGGTCTTAGTGTTGCTCCTTTGTGGACTGGGGATCAGAGCCGACGTGAGTTTGGAGAAGTTTTTCTTTCTGTTRACTGAATGAAATATAAAAATCAGAATTACTTTTGTTTGGTTTACTTCTTTATTATGACAAGAAGAAATAAGGGAACTAGAGGCAAACAGAGTTTAATTAACAGTTTTAAAGAAACACCATGAAAATTAAAATGCAGCTAATCTAATCCACAATTTAATCTTTTGTTTCTGTTTAGTGGACAAGTTCCTCTAATGATTGTTAAATATACTTGTTTAGATCAAGCAGTTATTGTTTTTTTTTGGCTAAAACGAAAACTCTGATGGATCACAATGAAACCCTGAACTGTTCTGTCATTTACACCAHTTAATTTCTGACTCTTTGTTTCTGTTTTAAACCTCAACAGGACAGCTGTACCCCAACAGGTTGGTGCTTTTATACATCAAACTACATTATGTTGGCTGTGTTAGGATACTTAATAACAGGAGTTATTTAAATCAGTTTTCAAAATCATTTCAGGCATTTAAAATAAGTTTTTATTAAATGATGACATTTTGATGTGAAAGAATTCAAGCTGACTCACATTTTCACCACTGGTTTAACCTTAGGATAAAACCAGTAGGGGTGCAACAACACATGTACCCATATCAAACCGTGTCAAACAGTGCTTTAGGTTCAATACACACTTGTATCAAACAATACAAATTATTTTATTTTAATTTATTTTATCAGCTTGTCTTCTGAAGATGCTCTGTGTTGAAGGATCAGTGGATCTGTGTT